AAAAAAAAAAAAGTCCCGCGTTTGCCTCTAGATAAGTTCGGCTCCAAGAAAAAGGTCAAGGTGCTTGGGGCAAGTGGGATTCAACTTTCATGCCTAGTTGTGATCCTAGGGATGTCCTTTCTCCGGTACTGAGCCACTGGGCTGCTGCTGGGAAGGGTGGAGGAGGTTGTGAAAACTGGACAGCCTGTGAGGGACCTATGTAGATGATGTTCACCTCTTAGGTAGGTGTTATTTTTTTTTCTCAGGAGGCCATGTCAGCAGAATTGATTTCATCTGCAGAAGAGGATGTACATCCTGGCTCAGGACCCAGTTTTAGGTCCAGTCAGAGGAAGATATTAAACCTGCTCTTGGAGAGAGACACTTCCTTTACCACCTGTCCAGATCTCCCTAGAACTCCAGTGAACAAACTCTTTGGCGATTCTGCAAACCTAAGTGTTTTGTCTGGGTAAATCCACCTTTTACATCTTATCTCCTTTGCTTTTCCAAATAGCCTTGGGATTTTTATTTATTTATTTATTTTAAAGTTTATTTATATTTGAGAGAGAGTGAGCAACTGGGAGAAGGGCAGAGAGAGAGGGGGACAGAGGATCTGAAGCCGGCACAAGCTGATAGCAGCAAGCCTGATGTGGGGCTCGAACTCACCAGCTTTGACATCATGACCTGAGCTAAAGCTAGTTGCTCAACCGACTGAGCCACCCAGGTGCCCCAATTTATTTGTTTGTTTGTTTGTTTATTTATCGTAAAAGTTTATTTATTTATTTTGATAGAAAGAGAGAGTATGAGCAGGGGAGGAGCAGAGAGAGAAAATCCCAAACAGGCTCTGTGATGTCAGTGCAGAGCCCCATGCAGGGCTGGAACTCACAAACCGTGAGATCATGAAGTGAGAGTTGGGGGCTTAACCATCTGAGCCACCCAGGCACAGCCTTGGGGTTTTTAAAAAATTATCTTGGCTCCTGCTTCAGATTCTGTGTCTCCCTCTCTCCATATCCCTCCCCCACTCTCTCTCTCTCTCTCTCTCAAAAATAAATAAACATTAAAAAAAAAAGTGGGGAGGAGGCACTTGGGTGGCTCAGTCAGTTAAGTGTCTGACTTTGACTCAGGTCATGATCTCAAGGTTTGTGGGTGCTGACAGCTCAGAGCCTGGAGCCTGCTTCTCATTCTGTGTCTCCCTCTCTCTCTGCCCCTCTCTCTCTTTCTCAAAAATGAGTAAATATTAAAAAAACATTTTTAAAAAATTATTGTGGCTCAAAGATCAGGGTTTAAGTTTTAAACCCTGCCCTTCAGTAACAGTGTGACTCTTGACCCTCAGGCTTCTTTTCTGTGACATAGAAATAATAATCTCTTCCTATCTTACTAGGATCTTATGAGAATTAAATGATGTGATGTCTGGGAGAAGTCTTTGAAAACTCTATTGTGTTATAGGAGTAGGTATTTTTATTTGTATTAATATTAGTGTTATTATTATTGTACTTTAAATTCTGGTCACGCCATGCTCTGATGCCTCAGCTAGTTGGAGAGTTATAGACCTGAGAAGTACTAGAGACTCCAGGGAGAAACTAAATCTATGTACCCACAGTGCGTAGGGCAAAAGATGTGGGGTCAAGACCCACCTCAGCCAATAATTTTGGTCCTCAATTTGAAAAAAAATTACTTGTCTCAATACGTTGGTGAGGAGGAAATGAGATGCAAATTATTGGAGTAGAGAAAAGGTTCCTGAGGGGTGTTTCAGATGAAGAGGATAATGTGATCTTTGCCTTTCAAGGTTATTACAACTTAATGGGAATCTTGCTGTACTATTATGTCTCAACAGAGGAACCCCAAAATGTTGCCTTGATCTTTCCAATCTTAGCAGTGGTGGGGAGATGTCTGCCAGTCAGCTTACCACTTCTGCAGACCTTGATGAAACAGGTAAGGAGAAGGGAGGTAAAGGCCTCAAGGAAAAGAATAACTTCTAAGGGAGAAAACAGGGTAGTCAGATAGAGATGGAACGTGGTAAAATTAGGAAGAGGGGCGCCTGGGTAGCTCAGTCAGTTAAGCCCATCCGACTTCGGTTCAGGTCATGATCTCATGGTTCTTGAGTTCGAACCCCACATCGGGCTCTGTGCTGGCAGCTCAGAGCCTGGATCCTGCTTTAGATTCTGTGTCTCCCTCTCTGTCTGCCCCTACCTTGCTCACACTCTGACCCTCTCTCTCTCTCTCTCTCTCTCAAATATAAATAAACATTAAAAAAAATTTTTTTTTAACGGAGGTAAAGATCCTTGAAGTTGAAATTCTGTGGGTACCTAGGGGATTTTTGAGAATGATAAGCCAAGAAGAGAAATGTAATAACATAAATAGGAGTCATTTTGCATTTGAAAAATTTAGACAAGAAGGAATATTTTGTTAACTGATTGATGATGGGAATGAAAGTAGTAGTTAAAATGGGAAGTTTTATGCTCTAGTATAATCTCAGCAAAGGCAAAGAAACATAAAGAAATACTTTGTTAACTAATTCTTGTGGTTTTGTAGGGCCTGAGCCCAAAAGGAGTATGTTTTACTAGTCAATAATTTTTTTTAATGTTTGTTTATTTTTGAGAGGGAGAGAGAATGAGCAGTCACCAGCTGGGGAAGGGCAGAGAGAGAGCGAGCGAGACAGAGGATCCAAAGAAGGCTCTGTGCTGACAGAAGAGAGCCTGATGTGGGACTCAAACCCACAAACTGTGAGATCATGAGCTGAACCAAAGTCCAACACTTAACTGACTGAGCCATGCAGGTGCCCCACTAGTCAATCTTTTTTTTTTAAGTTTATTTTTATTTATTTTGAGACAGATAGAGAGCAAGCAGGAGAGGGGCAGAGAGATAAGGAGACAGAAAATCCCAAGCAGGCTCCACGCTGTCAGCGCAGAGCCTGATTCAGGCTCAAACTAAAAAACCATGAGATCATAACCTGGGCCTAAGTCAAGAGTTGGACACTTAACTGACTGAGACACCAAGGCACCCCACTAGTCGGCCATTTTAGTATTTGTTCTATTTTCAGAATAAATGGTCTATTTCCTGAGTAATCAGCATTATTTCCTACCCATGAAAAAAATCTCTGTTCATTATTGTCCTGCAGTATTTCCTGCATAAATTCTTAAGTAACATATATAAATTCTTAAGTTTTCATGAACTTGTACCTTGTACCATAAAATTGGTACCTATCAGGAGCCCAAGCATTCAAAACATCAGCTTTTGAAATTAATGTGGCTTACTGGCAATGAAAAAAATGAGAAGGAAAGACAGGATGTGTGGACAAGATTAACTCTTCACATTTGATTGCAGGCCACTTGGAATCTAAAGGACCTCAGGACATACATTTAGCTGGGATGTAAGTTCTTTTGCTAAATGAACCCCATGCTGAAGCCTTTTCAGCTCTGGCACAGGAATTTTATCCTGTGCAATCTCTGCAGTATGTAGAACCTTTTACTTTGGGTATAAGTTGGCTTGAAAGCCTCAGTCCCTCACTGGAAAGATTTTTTAAGTTGCTCAGATCTAAATAGTTCATTTTAACCGTTCCATACAACCCGTATTATCTTTAAAAATGAAGGAAGGGGTATATTGCGTTTAGGCCTAAGCTGTTTCCTGCATGTGAATAGTGCAGTGTTAGAGCATCTGGATTCCAGTGGCTTACTATTTCACCAACTGTGATTCTGAAGATTTTCTTAACTTCACTGGATCTCAATTTCTTCATTTGTAATAAATAACAATAGACATAATAATAATACTTTTCATAACTGCTCTTGTAAGGATGGAATTTAGCACGTATGAACTATTTTATAATGTTTAGTATTGTTATTCATGGGGACTCTTTGTTGGACATCTTAAAATATTCAATCAGGGAATGCTCCAGGAATGAAGTTATTTCAATTCAACTCATTAACTTCTTAAACTTATTGTAAGGTTTCCATTTGACTCTTTTAATCTTTTTAGAACTTTATCCTTCTATGTTTAGGTGAATTAGGAGCTACTTTAGGACACTAGTGAGAGCATTCCATGACTGTTTTTTAATTAATTAAACCTATTAGTTTTAATTAATTATTGATTTAAATAATTAATTTAATTAATTAGTTTTGAATTAATTAATTTATTAAGACTTTATTTTTTTTAACAGTTTTTTTAATGTTTATTTTTGAGGGAGAGAGAGAGTAAGAGTGGGGAGGAGCAGAAAGAGAAGAAGAGAGAGCAGGCTCCACACTGCCAGGGCAGAGCCTGACACGGGGTTCGATCCCACCAACCAAGGGATCATGACCTGAGCTGAGATCAAGAATCAGTTGTTTAACCGTTTAACTGACTGAGCCCACCAACCGCCCTTCCACTGTTTTTTTGTTTTTTTTTTTTTTTTAATTTTTAACATTTTATTTATTTTTGCAAGACAGAGAAAGACAGAGTGTGAGCAGGGGAGGGACAGAGAGAGAGAGGGAGACACAGAATCCAAAGCAGGTTCCAGGCTCTGAGCTGTCAGCACAGAGCCTGATGTGGGCCTTGAACTCATGAACCAAGAGATCATGACCCGAGCCGAAGTCAGATACTTAATTGACTGAGCCACCTAGGCGCCCTGCCCTTCCACTGTTTTTAATAATACATGTGAAAATTTCACTTTAGATTGCTTGTAGTTTATTTGACTTGCTTTAAAAATCCTAACTCATGCAAACTGGATAAAATCTTGGCAGTAGGGATAATAATTCATAAAAAATAAGTATTAGCTCCCAATAGTCAATGCTGGAAAATTAGTAAATTTGGTCTACATAAGATGTAGGACAAGCTCATCATCTTTAATGGATATCTATATATATGGTTATGAGGGCCTTATCCCCAGGATGTCACTTAACATCTTCATATTTGCCACAGAGAGCACTTTACATATTGTATGGAGACATATCAACTAGATATAGGGCTCCTAGAGTGGAAAAAAGGAAAAGTTGGGATGCCACAAGCCACTGAGGAATAACTAAACAGTATTTGGGGTTTAATGACTGGCACTTTTTTTGATCTTCAGGAATCATCACCAGCACTTTACAAAATGCAGCCCAGTGAGTAACATCTATTTCTTGGGTTTGGGTTTGTTTCTCAGGTGGTAGGCAGAGGCTTTCCACCTCACCTGTGGCTCAAGGATGCTGGATGTTCTCAGAAAATGTTCTCTTGTAGGCACAGCTGCTTTGTAGCACTCCAAATGTTTTGGACTGTGGCAACAGGAAGAAAGATGCAGTATGTAGCTCACCCACAAATAAAGAAAATGTAAGTGTTAAATGGAAACCCAGATACATTAGTACTTTTCTCCCTGTGAGGGGAGCAACTCATCAGTATCATTATGAGACCCAGAACTGTTATCCCTCAGTATGCAGACAATCAAATTGCTTCACTATAAGGCAAAAAATTATTTATGGTTTGTTTTTTATCTTTAAGATTTGACCCTAGAACAGACACCTAGCTCCATGTCTTCCAGAGCAGATCATCATTATTCCTCATGTTCAGTTGATTGGTTTAAGGGCAAAAATCTCTATTAGTGTAGTTTGGGAATTTAGGGCTATTTTTTTAAACAGGGGCGCCTGGGTGGCGCAGTCGGTTAAGCGTCCGACTTCAGCCAGGTCACGATCTCGCGGTCCGTGAGTTCGAGCCCCGCGTCAGGCTCTGGGCTGATGGCTTGGAGCCTGGAGCCTGTTTCCGATTCTGTGTCTCCCTCTCTCTCTGCCCCTCCCCCGTTCATGCTCTGTCTCTCTCTGTCCCAAAAATAAATAAAAACATTGAAAAAAAAAATTTAAAAAAATAAACAGATAATGTATATAAGTTGTTCACATACTCTGTGCATGGCTTCATGTATGGGTTTACTTAATTTCTTCTTATTTCTCCCTTAGTCAAGCTTTTTAGCCCATGTTCTGAGAAAGCCATGGGCCTTTTTGTCTGAGCCTCCGGCCTTCAGTCAGTTCTAAGTTGAAACTGGGCTCGACAGAGCCACCTAATCACCAAGATCATTCTCTAACTAATCCCTTCAACGAATTCTCTTTTCTTGTTTTTTTTTTTTTTTATGTGTATTTATTTATTTTGAGAGACAGCGCATGTGCGAAAGAGCACAAGTAGGAGAGGAGCAGAGAGGGAGAGAGAGAGAATCCCAAGCAGAGTCCAGCCTCTGCACCAAGCCAGATACAAGGCTCGATCCCATGACCAGGAAGGAGATCATGACCCCAGCCAAAATCAAGAGTTGGACCCTTAACTATACCAGCCACCCAGGTGCCCTGAATTGTGTTTTCTAGCCATCTTTTTCTTTCCCCTGCCCGTCATCCTTTCCCCCAGGTCAGTATCTATAAAAGGTAGCTGCTGTTCTTCTTTTCTCACATTGACTAAGTTATACCCATGCTTTTGGCTGTTTTAATCAGCTTATTCTTGATTTGACACTGTCCTTGTAATCACTTTTTGGAAATCTCACCATCCCCTCCCTACTCAGGCTCCCCTTTTCCTCCCTTCCTTTGGCTTGTGACCATAAAATCAGTATCCTCCAAAGCAAATCTACATATCATACATCAAATCCAAACCATAATTTGTATTGTCAGGATATAGGATCAACCTTGATTATACTTAATGTGTTTTGTGAGGGTTATTCATGGCTTCACCTGATGAAATGTTTTTGGCAGGGCTTGCTGACACTTGTCTTCCTCCAGCCAATGTAATTTTTCTTATGCAGAAGAATAACACTTTGAAGTCCTCCGAGTGGTGGGCATCCAGGAGCCTGAAGTTTCAAAAGACACCAGAGGAGCCTTACATGTCTCCCCTTTCTCTACTGGTGAGTCACTGAACATCCTCATCAAGGGTCTGCTGAGGTGTTGTGGATTATAGGATGGCAGATCTGCATTACAACCCTTTCAATTTTTCTAAGCTGGCTTAGGTGAGAAAAGTGGTTGGAGAAGTAACTCTGGGAAAAGTAAGAGACATCCTCTGACGTTTTTATTTGTTAGAAAATTCTTAGGCCTTTAGGGGGCGCCTGGGTGGTTCAGTCGGTTAAGTGGTTAAGCTTCCGAGTTCCGCTTACGTCATGATTTCACAGTTTGTGAGTTGGACCTCCGCGTCTGGCTCTGTGCTGACAGCTCGGAGCCTGGAGCCTGCTTTGGAATCTGTCTCTGTCTTTCTGCCCCTCCCCTACTCGCTCTTTGTCTGTCTCTCTCAAATATGAAAACAAAACAAAACAAAGCAAAAAAACATAAAAAAAAATTCTTAGGCCTTTAAAGTTGTTCTATTTTGGGGTCCCCTGGGTGGCTCAGTCAGTTAAGCATCTGACTTCAGCTTAGGTCATGATCTTGTGGTTGGTGAGTTCAAGCCCCTTATTGGGCTCTC